ATAGAAAGAGGTTTTAAATAGTAAAAAATTGGGCCAGAATTTTTTGTCCGTTATAGAGAAAAATCCGTTATAGAAAGGTCCGTTATAGAGAGAGTAAACTGTACAATTAATTAAGGCCATTTTGAGTGTTAAGTGTTCTGTTATTTAAACCCGCATCGTTCCATTCGATTAAAAGCAATGGGTCTTCATATAACTCGTCGTCATGGTAATTATTATTCCTGTGTTTGGCATGTACCATTTTTGCCCATTGAAGAATAGGTTTTTAGAATCTTTCCATAGGGTTGTTTGTTAAGACAAACAAACAAACCATATTGTAATCCTAAAATGACAAAGGTTATGATAAAAGAAATGCTTGCAAAATAACATCACCTGTAGAAGACTTCTGAGTAAATTTTTTGATTAGTTTCTTTAAAGCGTAAAGACATTTAGATATCTTGTTTAAGTATGGTGGTAATGAATTCAACCCTCCTTTTTTTTACTGAAAAGGCCAATTGATTGGTTGCCAATTTTATATTATGTTAATCCTAAATTTGGCTACGAATTTATTAATAATTAAATAGGAAACTAGGATGCTATGAACCAAGTTCGGGCTATGCCCTTACACTCGGCATTATGTACCTCAGCCTCAGGTGTGGGAAATGTTTGGCAAGTGATTGAAAGCCAACAATATCAGTGAAGGGGAAGGAATATAAAGCCAATTAGGCACCAATATGGGTATCTAAAAATAAGTAGGTAGCAGTATAGTTGCAATTGTGTAGCAGTCTAGTGATAAGTAGGAACAATCTATGTTAAGTAGGTGGCAATATATATATTAAATGGTTTTTTTGAATTGTTAAAGAAGTTACAACAATGTCACAGCATTTATACAGATTATTAATTACTTTTAGCTGATGATCCTTTTCGAAAAAATGTTAACTGATCACTGAGCCCTTAAGTTATGATACAAAGAAAATCTAGAGTCTGAAATTTTTGAATTCGCATTCGGATTCCTCCTCTTTTTCAAAGACCTGTTGAAATCTTTCCTATGTGAAGAGTTCATCCTAAAAAGACAACAAGCAGAATCTGGCATAGGCATAAAAAGAATTATTAAATCTGATACTGAGCCCAATATCATAGGTTTAGTATTATTGCTTTATTTGTTGGTAATGATTCTTAAGGAGCTCTACAACTTGTAATAGTATACAATTAGGAACCACAGACATATGCAACAAAAAAAGGGGAACCAAGTAGAAACTTGACCACTAAAATTTTTCCACTTCACTTGGATAACAAGGTGATGATGGACCATTGTCCTACATAAAAATATGGTTCAGGTTAAAATTCAACAAAACATCAAGGGTTTATTTTCCAACTCTCATCTTGTCAGCTTTTTTTCAAAATTGATTGGATGGTTTTAGTATTATTATTATTATTTTGGTGATGCAATATTTATTATGAATAATAATATCAAATGCGTTGTGTAATCATGAATACTGTAATAGACATGATATGATAGTGGAGAAAAAGTATTCACATTCAAGGGAAGTATTAAAAAGATAATATTTTGATTCAACTAAGAGAAAAATATGTAATGATTTTAATTTATATATATGTAAATATGATAAAAATCACCAGACAATTGCATGAAAATCATTGATAAGTATTACTATTTTTTGGTCATTGATCTATTCTATTATTATTAATATTATCACTATTGCTAATATTATTATCTTCCTCATCCTTTATATCATCCTTCTCCTTCATTTTTTTTTCTTTTCTTTATTGATTACTGGATTGTTTCCATCATTTTCCTTCTAGGCTTTGTTTTTCATTGGTAGAAATGTTTTGCAGCAATTCTCTTACATTCATCAAGTAATTTGTTTACCACTAAAGGAAAATTTTGAGTCTAATCCATTTTTTCAAATAATTGCTCAACACCCTTCTGGATATTTTTTATCATAGTAAGTTGGTTTTATTTATTTTTGTCTTGGCTCTATTTTATTGATTATTTAATCAATTTTTTAAATTTGTGTCATGAAATTGGTTATGTAAGTATTATAATGAAGCAAGAAACCAAAAAAGAGCCAATTAACAACATGCAAAGAGTTCACTTTTGAAAGTAAACATTTAACGAATATTGAAAAGATAGGTGAAGGTGGTTTTGCAACTATATTATACCAGCAAGCAGATTATAAGCTTTCCCCAACCTGAAAGTGAAATAATAATGGTAATTATCAACATTTAATCATTGATTATTTTCATAGTATTAATATTAATTTATTAACTCCTGTTAAATATTTTTTAGATCCTCAACTGATTGAATTAACTATCCCCAATTAAGTTAATAAAAATATAAAAATCTTGTCATTACATAAAACATAACAAGAATCAAACAGACATGAAGGAAATAAACAAGCAATCTGATTAATTTCATATATCATCTCTATCGTTAATTAATTATCTTAGTGATTTAATTTTGTATATAATCATCTTGGTGATTAATTTCATATATTATCTTTATCGTTAATTATCTTGGTAATTAATTTCAATGATCCTAAATATCATTACATATTTATCAAAAATTATCTTATTTCATTAATTTCTGATTTTTTAAAAAATTATTTTTCGTTGATTCCATTCCATTTATTTATTCGTTACGTCACGATGGCTGCACTAATAACTCCAGGTGGCAAGAATCGACTGAATGTATATAGAATTAAGATGAATTTTAGTTCTTTTATACAACAAGTTACAACCGGTTCTAACCGGTTCTAAATTTAATTGTATTGAATGGTAATAAGTTTATAAAAACTTTTGATTTTACTAAATAAAATAAAAAAAATAATTTCGTAAATTCTGTTATCAAGACAAATTACTCATTCGATATAGTTGTTGATAGTATTATTATTATTATAATAATAAATTCAATTTTCTCATTTTACAGTAATGGGGTCAAGTTCTTCAAAATCTTCAAATTCTTCAAATTCTTCAAAATCTTCAAATTCTTCAAAATCCTCAAAATCTTCAAAATCTTCTCCAAAATTTTCAAAATCTTCAGAATCTTCAATCAATGAAACAACCCCCTCATGTTCGGATCACCGGTGCCATGAATATAATCTCATTAAAAAAAAACTCAAAGACCTCGAAGAGTCGGAAAACGACACATACAAAGATTTACTCGAAAAACTGGATATCCAAAATCCAGCGCAGATTCATGATCTTGTCCACCAACTTGGAGACCCAGACCTCTTCCTTGAAAAATTTCTTATGATAAAAAAAGAAGAACATGAAAGACTATTGAGAAATATAGAGTCTGAGATACGTTCACTTAGAGACTTTCAAACATCTGATTCCCAAGATTTAACGCAAATGGTATGGAAAAATACACTAGAATACAGAAAACAAAGCAAAAATTACAATGTTTATTTGTTCATTGAAAAAATTGATGAAGAGTATTGTAATTCCACCATTGCCGGGAATGTAATTACACGATTCACTAATTATGGGCTATTTCATGTAGGCCTGGAAATAGATGGTATCATTATAGAGTGGGGTTATGGTTCTGCAGGCTCAAGCATTGTGTGTCCAAGAGTGGATGCCAAAAGAATGTTGACTTATGTGCGAGTAAATTACGAACAAATAAATTCTGAATCCAGTCCCCTATCGTATATTTTATCAGGAGCAGTTATTTCTTTAGCCAGTGTTGTAGTCGCTTTAACTGGTGGCATTGGTTTATTTTTCACTGTATTGGGAGTGAATGCATTAGCCGTAATTTTAGTTGCTTCATATAGTATAATCTACCACTTAGGAACCATAAAGAAGGATAGACTGAAGCAAATCGCTGAAAAATGTGTTCGTTATAATAAAACTCATGGATATAATCTTATTACAAACAATTGTCAACATTTTGTGGATGAGGTCTTAGAATCTATTGGCTTAAAATTTAAGCCGGAAGGAGAATTCAAGGAATTTATGGATAGAATCAAATATAATAATGATGATGATTCGTTCTGATTCAAAGACAATGTATTCAACTCAAGAGCGGACCTCGACGATTACGCAAACGATTATTGGAATAACCTCGAAAATAAATGGGATAAGAAGTTGCTAATATGTTATTCAGATGTGATGGAACGCATGTATCAGAAGGGCAAAGATGAGTGGGGCCCTATGGATGTTGAAAAGTGGCAACAAAGATGCGAAGAGTTTTTTTAAAAATCGCATCTTTTATTCAATAAATATTTACAATTCAAACCAGTAAAAATTCTAGCTTTATTGTATTCATTCAATAATTTTATTAATTTATCAACTTTTAAATAAAATGCTTAATAAATAAATATTTGAAGATACAGTATATACTTGAGATTGATAATTTTGATTTCCTAAGTGATTTCCTTTTTTATTTAAATGTTCTTCAATTGAAATATTAAGGGAGATATTTTCGCCTTGTTCTTTTTTCAAGCGATTTTAGTGTTGTAATTTTTTAGATTTATGTAAATAGCTCATAATAAAAATAAAAAGTGCTATTGTAATGCTAAACATTCTTTGAATTATACGTGATATTATTTTTCACGAATCAAAACTTAATATATTCGGAAGGAAGAAAATTTATTTCTTGAGAGCATATCTATTTATTTGGATTCTCTCTGCAAGTTTTCATTTGTATATATTAATTTCTCTCTCAACTTTGATGATGATGAAATCTTTTATAAACGATCTCTGCCACATATACAGGGAAACTCGGGCTAAAATGATAATGATTCTAACGCAGTAGAAATCTGTACCAATTTGACTATTAACATATGGACGAAGTTCCAATTATCATACTCAGAGTCTGCACACATATCTTTCCTGTTGATTTTGTTTCCTGATCTTTGCGATAAAACAACAGCTTACAATTGGTATTTAATTAAAGAGAGATTGCCTTCAATTGTTGTGTGGATTGCATAACATTATTTTGCAAATAACAGGCAAATTATTTATCAATTACTGAATTTTATTTGTATCCTTTGTTAATATACTGTATATACAGTTATTGATGTGATTCATAAAGAAACGTCCAAATAAACATACATCGTTGCAAAACTATACTAGTGTTAATTCTTAAAAGGAGCACATACTTTTTTGTAACAAATACAGTATTTGTTAAACGGTAGTTTCGCATTATGTTATTTATTTTTCATTATTGTTATTCTCAGACAACAACATTCTTCGTCAATGATAATAATTAATCGATTAATTGATCAAGTCATTTTGATATTATTTTTTTCTTTACTGGTTTCATTTATCATTCTAGCAGATCTTGCCCTTTTCAACAATTTGCTAGATTCAATCAACCCCAATCCTCTCGCTATATGTCTTTGTAAAACTTTCTCGCCAATTCCTCTTTCGACTCTTAGATCAAGCTTTAGATGAATTGGAATTGAGTTCAGATAAGAAAACTATATTAGCTGATAAAGATTGATATATTGATTCCTTTGCATGTGAAGTAATTATTCTATCGTCGCGTCTTTTTTTTATAATATAAATTATTATTTGTCTGCGTTTTATATCTGGACGAACAACATATTGACACCTTACGTTTACACGAAAACACTTATTATTTTACAAAAACAAAAACGTTTACGATTAATAAAAACTAAAAATTAAACCGTTGCTTTCTACCAAGGCAAATAGCCAAAACCGAGTTACAAAACCTCAAAATTATATGCCACTCTGATAACCAAATGGACAATTAAACCCTACTGCTTAATTTCCGACTACAAAAATGTTTTTATTAAACGAAAAGAATTAATTTGTAAATACGGATCAAATAGTTACTAGCTAATAGTAGATAGTTCATAGTTGATAGTCATTAGTCATTCGAAATAATAATTTTATCGAAGTGCCAGCAATCATATTGCGAACATGTGTGTCACAATATCTTCAGTCCTCACATTATATGACATTACGACATTATAACAATAGATATCTGAATATATTTACGACATCACGACATTACGACACGTCAAAAGTCATTAATAGTTTAGGCCGCATGTATATTGATGACGCGTCTAGTAGTCATGTCAGAAGCGTAAAATAATCAATCTTCTTGATAATAATATTATCTTAAAAATAACACTTTTACATTGACCATAATAATTAACCCTCCATTGTGAATAAAATCTTTCATGGAAAGCAAGTGTCCTAATGCTCAGTGATTAAAGGGAAAAGCAGTTGGTAGCTAAATACTAACAGGATCCACAATTTGATCGACACTGGAGGGAGTTGAAGAATTATGAAAGTGGAAAAGGAGACTCATCTTTAATGAACATATTGCAACAAACAAACAGATTGACAAATCAAACAAAATCAATGAATTGTCTTCTAGAAATGAAAATATTGGTATGAAACTTGTTTTTAATGATAATATTAGTGGCGAAACCGATAACATTGATATGATTAATTCATCTGATAATACTGGAAATGATGATAACATAGAAGAAGTAATTGTTTAACAAACTTTCCAGTTTATTGATTTTCGCTTCCATTAAGTCAAAAATGACGTAATCAAAAAAGTAAAATTGCTTTAAAAGCTAAAAAGTTCACAAAAAAAAAAAAAAATCTAAACATTTTTTATCTTTATATTTTTCTTTTACTGAATACTGTACAAATTCAGTTCCCACATACTCACTAATCGTTGATTAGGGATTTGTATAATTGTATACTTATGTTCCAGGGTCAATTAATTTTAATGTATAATTATATGAAAATTTTACGCTTATTATCAAATAATCAGCATTCAGATAAACTTTGTGATAGGGTCATTATTTTTATTAAACGTTAATAAACTTTTAAAAATAAAATCGTTGTCTTTATTTTCTTTGTTTAAAGCGCTTGATAAAAGCAACAAGTGTAGTTCCTCGGTAGAAAGCAACAATTATGGAACTTTGGTAAAAAGCCACATTTTATTTGCTTTAGTGAGTAAGTAAAGGTTAGAACTAACCAACTAGTGGATGTTAATGAAAGTTTAATCAGAAATACTGATAGTATTATTGTAATCACAAACCTAAGGCTGTTAAACAAGCTATTTAAGTTGGTTTGCAAGTAAACCAAAGCGAGTTTGCAATCGGCCAATGAATGTAAACGACTGAAATAAACCAAAGCCCTTGAGCTTTGCAAAAGGCCATCTTTGTTTATTTACAGTTACCTAGTACCATTAAGTGTGCTCATAGATTCGTCTAAGTGCATTGATCGTGAACCAAAGTAAATTCGTAAACTAATTAATTGACAGGCACCGAATTATTGTAAATTAACTGACAAGAGCATCCAAAGGTTAAGCCATAATCAGCCATACTCGTTAGATAATCGATATTAACTGAAACGATACCTTGCGATATCACCATTAACAAGAATAAAAAAAACTGTGAAAATTTTATTATTTCGAAATAATTTAGCTTTAAATAAAAATAAAGATAAAATAAAAAGATATAACAAATAATTTAAATTAGTCATTCATTGATTCTTTTTTTTAATTATTAGAATCAAATGTAAACAAAAAATATTGTTAGTAATAATTAATGGATAGTAAGTTCCAATTAATTAATTAATAATGAAATTTTTATTCACCTTC